ATGCGGGACAACAGGCATAGAGCTAGAGAAGTTGCAAAAGAGTTTAAGAAGCAAAAAAGTTGCTAGTGTCGGCAAGGAAACTAGGTGGGAGAGTGAAAGTTTTTATAGAAGAATGTGTGACAGGAACGTGGCAACACTTGTCCAAGGCAGTTTGAAAGAGGATACAGGATTGGGTTTGTTTTTCTTTTTGTAACTAAGTTTTACAGTCTTTTTATTCTCTAGGATGTATGTTTCTGGTATGGGCAATGCTTATATCAATTAAGAAACATCTCATGAGAATCTTAGTATTGAATTTATTTTGTTGTTCAGCTGCCTGTTGGGTAAAATCACTAAGCTGATTATTATTTTTTTTTTTTAATTTTATTTTTTTTGCGCGTCTCCCTTGTTACAGTACAGAGCAACAGATTTTGTGGTTCCTGGTCCTGGAAAAGTAGAAATGACTTACACACCAAAAGATGGAGGTAAACCAGTGACATATGTGGTCCATAACTTTGAAGGTATGTATAACATCTCACAAAGCTGAGATTGTAAGTGGTATTTGTCTAACGAACCCATTTGCAAACAAATTTGGTATCTTTTGGACTGGTCCAAGATAAGAACCTGTCTTTCCTACTAGTTACTTATCTATCTTAGATGCTGTGGGACAGAAAATCTTAGATTCAAATCTGACTGGGAAACCATTTGGGGGAAAGTGTTTTTATTTGATGTATTCCATACTGTTATGTATATGTATACCAAGGCCAAATTTAGGGTGTTATGTACATCATTCGTTCTGATATCATTTCCTGTTCTTTTTGCACGTTTGGCTTGGCAGAAACACTTAAATTGCCATATGTTTTTGTATGTAAAATACTACCTCTCCCTTCCCTCTTTCTCCTCCCCCCCCCCACATCTTTTTAGTATATATTAGAGTTGAGATACTTGCAGCATTTTTAAGGGGCCGTGTAGCCTTTTGTTGATAGGTTACCAGTTTGAATCTAGCTCAGCTTTAGCTCGGTAGAGGTGAAGCTTTATTTTGCCATGTAACAGAGGATTCACCTCCTGTGTGGACTGCCAGTTTAATGGGTTTCTGCCTCAACTTCCATAGCAGGTTACTGTGGTGCACTTCACTAATTGTAGTCCATGGAGAGGCTAAAAACTGCATGGAAAATGAACTCCTTCTGTTACTCCCATAAGATGGTCCTTCCACACAAATTGTGACTGAGGCAGGCTGGTACAACCACATGTATGAAGATTGCCTTTAGATTGCCAGCATGTAAACAGAAGACTGTTTGCCAGTGCCATAAATTTAAAAACGTTCCATGAGACCTCCACACACTTAAAGTAAAACCATACATCTTGCAACCTATATTTATATGCAGAGTGTTTGCATAAAAAGAATTCTGTCAGACCTGCATGATATTTGGAAAGCCCTTCAGTCGGTCACATTCTGTTCTCTCTGTGATCAGCCGGGTAAGCAGGTTGCCAGCTTATGCAGGTACTAATGGAAGTTTGTGCTATTTAATCCTATTCAAACACTTTTTAGCTTTTTATCTGCAGCAAATGTCATCTTAAGACAACCTGAGCAGATCTGCTTTAGTTGCAAAAAGGTTTGACTATTTTTTTTTCCCCACCAGACCTCAGTGTAATGAAAATCAGCTAATGCAGTTATTGCCATGTAGGTAATTTATGTACTGCCTCTCTTCCACAAAGGAAGGTTTTGTATTTCCAGGGTGATGACTCCTAGTAGTGGAGGTATTGTATTACATATTTACTGGAAGATACTTTGACCAGTAGGCCCTATTCTGCAGGCCCAGGTAAGCTTAGCATCTAAGCCAGCAAGAGGTTTGCTTTAAAGCAGGTATGTATGTCTTCACTGCAACACTGTAACAACACTTAGGTTGTTGCTTGGGTGTGGCTGCTAGCCACACTCCCATCAGCACCCAAAACCTAACTCAAGTTTGGTCACGCTTCCACCCTTATTAGCTGGCTTTTCTGCAGCAGTAGGTGAAAGGCTAGGTGTTGCTTTCACTGGAGCTGGTCCCCAACCCACTTCAAACTGACAACTCAAGCTAAGTCACGCAAGAGCTAAAAGTCCACCCTTGACTTCCCACAATTCTCTGTTGTTCTCAGAAGGGCAGGCAGGTTCTCCCAACAAATCAGAGGAAGGACCATAGAGCATCTCGGCCCACTACAGTGCAAAGAACTATCCCGATCTACAGGTGATCACACCTCCAGTGAGAATGCAAAAACTTGGTTATGGCTTTTCAGTGTGATATCTAACCTGGATGTGCAGAACCAGGTTATCACCTGAGCTAAACACTGCACTGAAAATACAGACTAAAATTGTAAGGTATTCTGATAGTAAGAAACCTGGAATAGCTTCATTCCTAAAAGCCCCAATCGCCATCCACTGCTTTCATTGAGAAGATGGAATCAGGCCTGATCTTGCACTAATGAAGTCAGTGGGATTTTTCCCATCCATTTTAGGTGGGAAGAGTGTTAAGCCCAGTAACCTGAATCTCGTAAGTATTTTAAAAAGAGTAGGAAGACCTCTCTTCTTCATTTTTTAATTCATTTTAATCAAACTTATGATAATAACAGCCTCTAGTAAAATTTCACAACTAAAAAGATGTGGGTGTGTGAACACTCTTAGAAAACACACCCTACTCTTGGCTGAATAAGGACCAGAAGAGAAGATAGCTGAGGGGTAAATGGTGTTCACTAGCGTTGCTTGCAGACGTTTAAAAAAAAAAAATAGCAGCACTTTAAACCTGGTGTGTTCCTGCACCGAGCCCAGTGCATGCCCAGAAGAGGCTTAGTTGGATCCAGCTCGTGTACTTGGACCCGGGTGCTTTAGTGGGGCTTTTTTGGCACTTTTATCTCATAGATTGGAAGGGGCCTCACAAGATCATCGGGTCCAGCCCCCCGCACTAGGCAGGTGACCCCAGCAAGGTGACTGTCCAGTCTCATCTTGAAGATTTTCATGGTAGGTGATTGCATCACCTCTGGAGGGAGTTTATTCCAGTCTGGACACCGTAACTGTGAAGAAGTTTTTCCTATTGTTAAGCATGAAACTGTCTTCCAGGAGTTTGTGACCATTACTGCTGGTTTTCCCCAAGGGTGCCCTGGTGAACAGTTGTTTGCTGAGTCCTTGATGTACTCCCCTGGTGTAGTGGTAAGCTGCTACCAAGTCCCCTCTCAGCCTTCTCTTTTTTAGGCTGAAAAGACCCAAGTCCCTCAGCCTTTCCTTGTATGGCTTGCCTTGCAAGTCTCTGATTATACAGGGGGCTCTTTTCTGGACTCTTTCAAGCTTTTCCACATCTTTGTTGAAGTGTGGTGCCCAGAACTGAATGCAGTACTCCAGTGGTGGTCTCACCAATGCTGAGTAAAGTGGAAGAAATAGCTGATTGAATCAGCTGATTGAAAGCGCCATAAAGCCCTACTGAAGTGCCTGATCTATACAGATGCTGCAGAGCCAGGTTGAAGTAACATGCTGCTGCTTCTGGTAAAGTGTATTGTAGTTTTTTGGGGGTGTTTCTGTTTGTCTAAATGTTTGCAAGCAGCCTAGGTGATTTTCTTTATACTCTGTATTTCCCACCCACTTTGTAATCTGTCATGTCCTTGTTCTTCTCAACAAAAAACCCACTAGAGCTCTCTAAAACAGTGTTCCATCTGCTTCAAGTGCTTCCATATCTTGAGGTCACACGTAGCTTTTGTTTGTTTGAGGATAAACAAGACATTGGGAATGCTAATGTATCCCTTAGGAGGTTGGCTTGTCCTGTATTGCTGTCCACAAGAAGATCTCCTCCTCTTGGATTCATACTTGAAAAACAAACTAGACCATGGAATGGGAATGCATACTTCTTGTGCCTCTCCCCTTGTACAAACTGTGTGTCTTAGGTTGCTTAATTAGAACACTTGCTGGAGCCATGTTGCCTGTTCTACATACTCTGTATAGAGATCCCAGTGGCAAGAAAATAGTTTTAGGAGAATTATGCCAATGAAACTTTGTAAGAGAGCCAGTGCAGAGACTCACAACTGCATTAAGCAAAAATAAAAATAAAAAAAAAGATGGGCGAGAAGGATCCTGCCCTGCCTACCAAAAATTTCATTTTCATGCCCTTATAACTAGCCCTTATACTATTCCCTTTTCTCACTTTGCTCTTAGACTGCGGTGGTGTTGCCATGGGAATGTACAATCTTGACCACTCCATCCAGGATTTTGCACATAGTTCTTTCCAGATGGCATTGTCTAAGGGCTGGCCTCTCTACATGAGCACCAAAAACACCATTCTGAAGAGATATGATGGACGCTTCAAAGACATCTTTCAGGAGATCTATGACAGGTAACGAATACATTTTGGGTGCCTATAGATGTGCAGCAAAGGCTGCTCGAACATATAATTACAGTGCATTGGAAAAGACTTGATTAATCGAGTCTGTTGGAGCATGGTAATTAACACGCCCCAGCAGACTCCAGTGTCACGTATATCAGTGTCCCCGCACTGAAAAATGGTAGTGGGGGTGCTTTAACTAAAGCTTGTTGAACGAGCTTTAGTTAAAGTGCACCCGCCACCATTTTTCAGCACTGGGACGCTGATGCCCATGATGCTCTGTGTGCTCTAATTTAAAGTGCCCCCCCTCATCCCTCACTTCTGGAGCACGTCTATAAATGTCCTGTGTTCTTACCTCCCTACTCACCGATCCTGTTGCATCCTCCTGTTGTAGAGATTCCTTCCTGTCTCATGAGTCTTTCTTATTATGACAGATCTGGCAGTGCTTGGCACAGTCCATTCTTATTACCATCAGTGAGGACTGGGAGTGCTTTGTGTCGCACAGAGTGCAACATTCAAGCTTACGCTTAAGTGCCTTGGGGTCCATCTTCCCCAAGATCTAGTGATGATCAAACAAAAGCTATGGAGATTTTGATGGCTAGTTCCTTAGAATTGAAACCTTACTAAGTGCAATAGTGAATTCCAACTCTCCTGTTTCTAAACTACATGCTGATCTGCTTGTATCACAGGAAGGGAATTCTTACAGATATTTTGGTAAATTATTACCTGATGTTTGTGAGAGAAGTTTAACTTGCAGCTTGCCTATTAACAATGAATATCCTTGCTTATTAGACCCCACACATGCCCCATAAAATGCCAACAAATTCACAGTAATGGGCATCAGAAACTTGGATCCTTATTCTTCCATGTTCCACTATTTTATTGTATTTACCTGAATCCAAGGCGACTTTGAATTTTAAGACAACCCCTCAATAATTAGGTTCTACATATGGAAAGTGTATACATTTGTTGTCATTTTCCATGTATACAATCTAATTATCAGAGGGTCATCTTAAATTTGTCACATTCCCCTACTCCCCCCACACCTGCTGGAGCAGGGAGGCATGGGGCCAGGGGCAGATGGCCCATTGTCCCCCTTGTAGCCTGTCCACCCTCCCTGCCTACACTCCCCCCCACCGCCACACACACACACAGCCTCTGCGCCCCCCTTTCCCCCCACACTTACTGTCAGGCATAACTCTATAGATTAATTGATTCATAGATTGTAAGGCTGGAAGGGACCTTTTGAAGATCGTCGGGTCCAGCCCCCTGCACTGGGCAGAAAACACAACTGGGGTCAGGTGACCCCAGCAGGGTGACCATCCAGTCTCCTCTTGCAGTCACCTACCCTGGAAATTTTCATCACCTCCTGGAGGGAGTTTATTCCACAGTGGACACCCTAACTGTGAAGAACCTTTTCCTAATGTGGAGCCTGAAACAGTCTGCCAGGACTTTGTGGGCATTACTCCTGGTTTTCCCCAAGAGTGCCCTGGTGAACAGTTGTTCACTGAGCCCTTGACGTAATTCCCTGATGTAGAGGTAAGCTGCTACCAAGTCCCCTCTCAGTCTTCTCTTTTTCAGGCTGAAGAGCCCCAGGTCCCTCAGCCTATCCTCGTATGGCTTGCCATACAAGTCTCTGATCATACGGGTGGCCCTTCTCTAGACTCTCTCAAGTTTTGCCACATCCTTGTTAAATTGCAGCACCCAGAACTGGACATAGTACTTGAGCTGCGGGCTCACCAATGCTGAGTAGAGCAGAAGAATCACTTCTTGGTTTTGCTGGAGATGCATCAATTGATGCATGCCAGAGTATTATTTGCCCTGCTGGCTACAGCGTTGCACTGCCAGCTCATATTCATGCTGTGGTTAGTTATTACCCCCAGGTCCCTTTCATTCATGGTGCTGGTCAGCTTGGCTCTGCCAAGCCAGTAGGTGTGTTAAGGATTGTTCATCCCCAGGTGGGGCACTTTACACGTCTCAATGTTGGACTTCATCTGGTTCCAGTCTGCCCAACTTGCAAGCCTGTCTAGGTCTGCCTGTCTCTGCAGCCTATCTTCAAGTGTGACCACACTTCCCCATAACTTGGTGTCATCCGTGAACTTGGCCAGTGAGCTCTTCACCCTCACATCCAAATCATTGATAAAGATGTTGAAAGGCACTTGACCAAGCACCAACCCTTGAGGGACAGCACTGGCCACTTCTTGCCAGGACAACGTAGATCTGTTCATTAGAACTCTCCGAGTCCTACCCCACAGCCAGCTTCCTGCCCACCTAACAGTCTCACAGTTAAGCCCACAATCCTCCATTTTTCTTGTGAGAACATTATGGGATACCAGATCGAAGGCTTTTTGGAAGTCAAGGTATACAGTGTCAACCTCCTCTCTCTTATCCAGGTGGCAAGTTACCTGATCATAAGGGAGATGAGGTGTGTAAGACTTGACCTGCCCACAATAAAGTTATGCTGGCTGTCTTTCAGAATCCTACTTTCTGCAAGTCTATCACACACAGACTCCTTAATTAATTTTTCTGTGATTTTTCCTGGGATGGAAGTTAGGCTAATTGGCCTGTAGTTACTCAGGTCGTTCCTTCTCCCCTCCTTGAAGATGGGTACAACATTGGCCCTCTTCCAGTCCTCAGGGACCTCTCCAGAATGCCACAAGTTTTGGAAGAGCTTCGCCAGGGCTTCTGCAGTGACTTTGGCCAGCTCCTTCAGCATTCTCAGATGAAGTCCATGTGGTCCTGCTGACTTTTATATAAGTCTAATTTTTTTTAATTGATCACGCACCAGGAGAAAGGTGGTCATTCCTACCCTGCTCATTCTGTACCCTATCTGGCATAATTTTTCCCCTTGGCCTGGTGAAATACCGAAGCAAAGTAGTCATTTAGGAGTTCAGTTTTCTCCTGAGTGCCAGTAACCAGCTCTACCAAGTTGATGAGCAATGGCCCCATGCTCCCATTTGTTTTCCTCCTGTTCCCTATGTACTTATAAAAAAAAAAAAAAAGACTTCTTGCTGTCCTTGATTCCCGTTGCAAATTTAAGTTCAGTTACCACCTTAGTCTTTGTAATCTGTCCCCTACAAATGCGGGCTGTTTTTGTTTAGTCCTCTTTGGGGTCTGTCCCAAGCTCTGATTTATACAGCTCTTTCTTCTTTTTTAAGAGGACCATGATTTCCCTGTTTAGCCATGAAGGCTTCCCAGCCCTTCTGCTACCTTTCCTCCACATGGGAATGGACTTCCTTTTTGCTTCAAGGATCATGTCATTGAGAAACAACCACTCCTCATGCACTCCTTTCACCTTCAGTCCCTGGTCCCACAGCACTTTCCCTACTAGTGACCTGAGCTTAAAAAATGCAAATTGCAACAAGTCCAAAACTTCAACCCTGCTATCTAATTTGTTTGCCTTGTAATGGACAGTGAATATGATGGTTTCATAGTTGCTGTTGCCCAGGCTACCCTCTATATTTAAGTCGGGCACCAGGTCATCTCCTTTGGCCAGGACCAAGTCTAAAAGAGCATTGCCTCTGGTTGGCTCGTGCATCTCCTAAGCCAGGAAGGGCTCTTTGATGCAGGTCAGGAAGGAATATGACCAATCCAACTTGACCAAGTGTTCCTCCCAAGAGATGCCTGAATACCTCAAGTTGTCCAGGTCCATTCCTCTTGGGCACAGAGCATATGGAAGCTCTGGCCCCTACTGGGCCACACAGCAGGGACCAGAGACTACTGGGGGCCTGGAGACACCACCACCACTCCTGCATGGCTGAGAAGGGGCCAGTGCTTCCATGTGCTCTGTGCCCTGAGGGGACATGGAGCTGGAACCATGCCTTACAGTTAACGGGAGGGGAGCATTGGGGGTGAGCAGAGACTGTTGAGAGCTGCTTCCCCTCCCCTTCATGCCCCCCACCCTTGCTCTTTCACAGATGAGTCCAAGACGAGGGGCTACCTTCCACCTACCCATGTTGAATGCGGAGGGGGAAAAATGTCATCTTGGATTTGAGAAAACACGGTCGTTCCTTTGACTAAAGCTGAGATGCCCTTGATTTTTCTCTTTGCATAAGAGTAAAATTGGGCCAATTGTTTTGTTTTGGTTTTTTTTAAAGTAAACGCAGTATATTAATTGCTTAAATATTGTTTCCTCTAATTTCTTTAGGCGTCTGGTTGCACTTCTAAGTAACTCCCCCATTAGCTAGATTCTTTTCCCTTCCTTTGACCAGGGTATATGTCATCCTTACATGCAAACATCATAAACAAGCTATCTGTAAAAATCAAAAAGCCACCTATAAAAGGAAAAACCACGTAGTAAAATGTTTACAGACCTACCACATAGCAATCTTGAAGGCATCTCAACTTCACCATCCTTGTTTATTCTCCTCTCTTTGTCTACTTCCTTATGCAATTTATGGGACTTCTCTTTGCTTACACACAACACATACCAGAACAAAAATTATCGGGAGCTGCAATAGTGGGGTTTTTTCCCTCTTCTTCCAGAGAATACAAGTCTCAGTTTGAAGCCCAGAAGATCTGGTATGAGCATAGGCTCATTGATGACATGGTGGCCCAAGCCCTAAAATCTGAGGGAGGCTTCATCTGGGCCTGCAAGAACTACGATGGTGACGTGCAGTCTGACTCTGTTGCACAAGGTATGAGCTATTTCTCTTCCAGTACATATACTCTGTACATCCTGCTGCCTTCCTGTTTTTATTCAAGAGGTGCATCTTGTATCTACAGACAGCTTGTTGGTATGTTGTAGAGTAGACTTTGCAGGATTTCATATATGCAAGAAAATCCAAGTGAGACTCAAGCATGGCTTTAAAAAGTGAATCAGAATTGGCATTCTGTTTAGATTTCTCTAGAACAGCAGTGTCAAGCTCGCCTCATGCCCTGAGCTGAATCCAGACTGGGGGGCTCTTTGCAGGCCAGATCCAACCCAAGGCACAAGGCAGTTTCAGCCAGAGGCACGTAGTAGTGGGTTTGGCTCTGACACAGGCATGGGGAACACTGGCAGCAACAGGCCCATTAAGGAAGTTGGTCAGATAAGTAGGTAGTCTGTTTCCAATTCTGGGCAACCACCCAGTCTTAATGGCATATGGTTTACCTCCCCACTGGGCCTACTCTTAACATCCACCACCTCCCTCACCAATGCATGGGTTTAGAGCTTTAGTTAGCCCACCCTCACAGAGTCTTTTGGTGCTTCCTAAGCCCACACTGCTTCTGCCCCAGGCAGAATCCACAACTGTTCCTCTTTCCCTTTCAGAAGGTTGTCAGTAGCCTCCCCAACACCCCTACAGCTACCCCATGCCTTGTAGTACAATTAAGCAAAAAGCT